GTTTAATTTTATAGTCCTATTTTCACACTTGAGTTGGGGGGATCATTTTATAACTGCTATTCTCTTTTATTTCCGTGTATTCCCCCTTTATGGAATACTGCACTCAATTTCCCTGCACGACTTCCCTTTTTTGATCTGTTGTATAAAAATGTGTGGGGCTTTTTATTATTACATGATTACTTTTTTTTTTAATTTAATGGTTTTAAAAAAATACCGTACCTGGTCAACAGATACTTTTATGAGGGCAAAGTCAGTACTATGATGAAAGTTTAACTTGATTACTAATGGATCATGTGCTAGCTTACTAATTTGTGATATGTTGGTATTAATTTTACTAAATGAGTTCAGATTGGCAACAACATGGTCATAATGGAAAATATTGGATACTTATTTTGTGTGCAAGTTGTGTTTTAATTATATTTATATAATATTTATATTTTCATCTCAATACTTGATTTTAACCTATGAAAACAACAAAATCTTGTTTGTATATATGGTGCCACAGGATAAAAAGAATGAAATGAAAGTTATTATTCTTCATTAGCCATAAGTCATATTTACTTATTCTTAACAGAAATATTTCTTTTTGAAAGAATCCTAGTATTGTGGGACTGTGGGTGAAAAGTTTATTTAGAAGATGCATGATCATACTTCACAGGTGATTTTTAAATGATTTCAAATGCATTTCCAGTTGCATGGCTAAAAAACATGGAGAACATTATACGTATAGCCGATTCTGTATGGTCATACTTAACCTATATTTTAACATTATCTTCGTTTTGGCAGATGTACTATAGCATGTCTGATAATGTTCATCTTTTCCTTTCCTCCTTTATGGCACTCATTTCATTTTGGCTCAAAGGAATGCACTAAATCTCAGGTATTGTAATTTGTGTGTGGTCTCCTAATACTAACCCAAGTTTTTTGTGAGTTTGCATTGTAACTAATGAGTTTATAACATTGATGTGTTTGGCTTGGTCTTGTTCTTTTGTATTTTGCCCCGATTTAGTAAAATCTCTTAAAACGAAAGTGTCGCTGGTTTAGGTGATGGTACAGGCTGCTTTATTTGTGCAGATGTAGGGATGAACTGTCCACCTTGTCCATCTTAGGTCTACTTAAGTGCCACCTAATTACTTTTAAGAATGAGTGGAAACAGTGTTCTTAACTAACATGATTTGCAAGGAAAGAAATGAAGAGAGAAAGACAGGTATGGGAACTCCATTAGCAACTTACCTTTATATTTTAAGTGATGTAGGTGGAAACCTTAAATTTCAGGAATCCCAATGTAAGAGTGTTGTGGGAGACCACTGGTAAAATTTTGGTCAAACAGAATAAAGGCTTAGTCAAAAAGGAAATGAGAATTTAAAATGGCTTGTGTTTTCTTATTTGCACTTTATATTTAACCAGATTTCATGCTTTATTTCATTCTATATTTTAATCAAGAGGCCTATATTAATATCTTTGCTCATTTCTTTCATGCCGGCACATGACTAATTTATGATTGTTAGTGTTACTGTTTTGAAATTGTGGGTCAGATTGGGGGTTATCAGAGAATTTGGAGTCAAGGAAGAAAAACTGATTTACCTCTGGACACTAATTGGTTAAGGAACTAGTAAAATTTTACAATTGTGTTTTCTTACTGCACAGGAAAAAGATATGAATAATTTAATTCACATTAGAAGAAGTCTACTGTCAATATAATATCTTTGGCGATTACAGTAACCTTGCTTGAAAGCATGAAATATTTGTATAGGTTTTCAAATTAAAATGAGGCAGTTACTTTATGTTCTGTGCAAGAGAATACATATTAAAATGCCACAGGTGTCATGACTGCTATATGGTACTTTAGAAACACTGCTAAATTTTAAATGATAAGGTAAATCTTAAACATTTTCATTGTTTTTAAATTTAATAAAATTTTGATCTAATTATATAAATTTTTTAAATTGTGCCAGCATTTTGAGCTTTTGTCTGGCAAAAGTACACTTTAAAATCTAGAACTTTAATATTTCAAAAGATGCATCAGTATATAATTAATCTTTCTCTTTTTTAATATGAAAAATTACTGTTTAGTCTAATTCCCATTTAGAACTAAGAATCGAATTTAAAATGTACGCTGAGTTACGATCTATAACTGATGTATACTCTTTAAAGTTAGATGTGTTGTAATGGTTTAAAACAGATTGTAATAATTTCCTTCAGAAACATGAGTACACAAGTAGTCCATATAGGGTGTTTTCAAGACATTTTTTCAAGGCAGGTGTGTGAGGTTTGCAGAGAGAATAAGCATTTTAAAATTCAGTGAGAAGGGAATATTGGAGATGGCTTTCATTAGAATTTTCTTACATTTCGATGAGTTGAGGTTGAGGCTGTATTTAAGATTGCCAGAAATAGGATGTGGTATGAATTTTCAGTCTTAGAATGGATAAAATAATAGGAAGGGAGTAGATAAGGTTCTTGGCAGAGGCTAGAAGATTTAGGGTCAGCCTCTTTAGAGACTTTGGTCAAGTTTGTTTTGTCTTTCGGTTCAGAACACAGTAGAGGAAAAAAGCTTTGTTTATTTTACCCATAATTACAGGCCCTGCCTGTCTACATTTACAGGTAATTGATTCTAAGAGTTTGTGATTTATTTATTCGAGAAGATATTTAAGGGGAGGACTTAACTTACCTGACTGGCGTGTTGGGGAGACTGGTACATGCCTGTTCTGCCCTCTGTTTCTTTTATCTTAATGAAAAGAGAGCTATGCCGCCTTCTTAGTTTAGAAAGATTAAAAATTGTACAGAGAGAGTAGACTGAAGATTGAAGAAAACTTGTCCTCTCTACACCATGGCGGTTACGTCTAGCAACAGACATTTCAGCCTCGGATGGCTGAAAGAACTAAGATGCTCTCTGTGCTTTGCAGTTCTGATTGACTTTCCACTCCCACTCCTACTTACCCCAAAAAGAATGGGTCTGTTTTCTACAAATTTGAAATGGGAGGATAACATAAAACATATTCATAAAGTTTCAATCAATGCAAAATTTTTGAAACAATGGAAACCTGTTGATCATATAAAAAGATACCTCCCCACACATTTTACTAGTAGTCCTTGTCTACAATATGAATATACACTTCAGAGCACTGTTTAGTAATTATGTAGTAAATTTTTCAGTAGATTACGCTTAGTTTAAGATTCTTGGTACAGATGTATAAAGGTAATAAAAAATACTGCATAAAATTATTAAGTTAATATAAGTTGAATACCATGTAACATTACAACATAATGGGAATAATTTTTTTGTTAATATAGTATCTGTAAAATGGCACCAGTTGTAATAAGATTGATTCATGCATGAGGCTTATGGAAATGAGTCCCCTTTTTTTATAAAGTTATTCTTTATAACAATATAAGACAATTTCTATTTCTTATAATGGTTATGTAATCATTCCTAGGTTATATCTTCTATATCTCTGAAGTAGGTTTTTTTTTTTAAGAGATAGATTTAAGTTAGTATCATTTTCAATTAAGGACTTCTTGGTAAGTTTGGTTAGTTTCAAAACTGGTTAGATATTGAAACAAATGAAAAATTACAGTGTTTGTGTGATTATGCACACTTACGTGACAATAGTGTTTTTGACATGGGCTATTGTTCTTGCATTAGAAATAGTATTTTCACTCATGTTAATGATTTTGCTTTTTCACTTATTTATTTAATTTTTTACTGAGGTCTTTTTAATTTAATCCAACATTTCCTACTTAATAGTAAGAGAATATATCTTCACTAATATATCAGTGACTTGTAGATTTACTAAATTTCCTAGAATATTAAGGTCTTAGGATTTTAACTTATAACAATCAGTTCACATCATATTATACCTGACTATAATTTATTCATATGACATTTAAAAAAATCTACGCTTATATACAAAATATTCAAATATGGGGGAAATTTCTTAATTATTTCAACATTTTCATTCTTTAAATTCATTAGGCATTTCTTTGCTATAGCCTTTGTATTCAATAATATCATCAGTGCCTTTCTGTGAATTATAATAGGATGGAGTTTCAGAAAATGTGTATATTTTCTTTCTTGTATCATAGAGAGGAAAGCTCAGTATTTTCATTTACATATTTTTATTAATTTAATGAATATTTATTGTGTGCCCACCTTGTTTCAGGTTTGTGCCAGTCTCTAGGACTATATACGTCTATAGGACAGACATATTTTGCTTCTTTTTAGTTTCATAGGTAATATAGACAAATAAGTGGGCAACTAAAATACAGAGAATTCTTAGTACTGTGGAGGTACATAGACAGGGCACCTTGAAGAATCAGGCATGTTTTTTTGAATATCTTGGCTCAAAGGAAAATATTCTTTAATCCAGGAAAGCCCAATAGAAATGTGAAAGCTGAATTGGTAAAGAATGGAAAAGAGAGGGGTAGGGAGAGTGTTAGACAGTAGTGATGTGTGTGTGTGCGCGCGCGCGCACAAACCTCTACAGATTGCTAGATCTTAGTTATTGTATGCATGTATGATGATTTATATTTGCATCAGAGTTTTAAAGTGTCAAAAATATTCTTTGCTTTTTGAACCTATTATCAGCAGGCTTACTGATTCCTCTTCACCTAGATCATGTTGCATTTTAAAATCCTGCAGAAAGCTCCCTGTGGAAAGGTCTTTGAACAATAGGTGGACGTAACAATTCTGTGCCATATGTGCTGCAATTTCTAACAAAATGCAGTGTGTTAAAACTGCTGCAGTGGTCTCAGTTTCCTTGCTTTGGGGGGACTATTTCCCTTTCTTGCAGTTACAATCAGGTATTTATGTTCATTTAATTTATACAGATTGGGAAATTATACTATAGAGTGTGTATAGAAATGGAAATGTAAATCAGGAAATAGTTTAAAACAAGAAATGATTTCTCTTGTGCTATTAACAGCATGCATTGCAAATTCATGCAAGGCAGTTGAGAATAGTGTGCAGTGTGCTGTTTACCCAAGTTTCAGCTTCTGTTAGAGGATGTCTATTTTTATATATTACATCATCTCTGCTGCAGAACTCCCGTGTCCACTGGGATTTACTGTTCTTTCATTCCATTTTGAAAGAAAGCTTGTGTTGATGTCATAATTGGACCCATCTTTTGGTTGCACTTGGAAATTGAAAGTAATAAGGGTGTTGTGCAGCAAATCATGCAATATTTCAAGCAATTTATTTGTCAGATCATTGCTACTTTGTCCTGCCTCTAATTGTGAACACTGGTGGCTTTCTGTACTTGTATATGTTTTAAATATACTTGGCTAAAATTTAGCTTTTAGTCTCAACTGCAAAGATCCTGTTCATCTTAGACTGTTTCATTTCTTATGTGCTTTTTTTTTTTTCATGAGATTTTGTAGTGCTACATGCTGATTTGAAAAATGTCTCTTTTCTTTGGAGAAATCTACTTTGATATTCAGACCTATTTCCTACCTGTGCTGAATTGATCTTTTTACAATTAAGTTATCAGTAAGTTGTCTGTTTCACTGTTTGAAATATCAGGTGACTAGGGGCGCCTGGGTGGCGCAGTCGGTTAAGCGTCCGACTTCAGCCAGGTCACGATCTCGCGGTCCCTGAGTTTGAGCCCCGCGTCGGGCTCTGGGCTGATGGCTCGGAGCCTGGAGCCTGTTTCCGATTCTGTGTCTCCCTCTCTCTCTGCCCCTCCCCCGTCATGCTCTGTCTCTCTCTGTCCCAAAAATAAATAAACGTTGAAAAAAAAAAAGAAAAAAAAAAAGAAATCATTCACATCATTCTAGTTCCAATTCGGTTCCTTCCATTTAAAAAAAAAAAAAAAATATCAGGTGACTAGAAATGTTCTCTTTTGATTTTGAATCCAGTGTTAAAGCATTATTAACTTGAAATGCCTTTCTATTGGCCAGAAGATATTGTTGACCTCTGGAAGAGGTTTGTATTCAGTGTATAGATGTAAGGTTTAAGTCCCTTGTGAAAGGAAATATTTAAACTAATTATATTAAATGATTTAAAATGCCTACTATGTTATACATATTTATGTATGTAAAATCTCCCCCTATTCTCTCAAAAATTTAGTAATCCAAATCTCAATAGTAAACCATTTTTCCCTTTGCTAAAAAAAAAAAAAAAAATTGATTAGGAGCAAACTTACACTTTTAAAAAATAACAGCTTTATTGAGTTATAATTCATACACCATACATTTTACCTGTTTAAAGTACATAATTCAATGTTTTTTTCTTTTTTTAAGTAAAAACACATAACATTACATGTATTATTGTAACCATTTTTTTTGATATTCTTTTTTTTTAATATAAAATTTATTGTCAAATTGGTTTCCATACAACACCCAGTGCTCATCCCAACAGGTGCCCTCCTCAATACCCATCACCCACCCTCCCCTCCCTCCCACCCCCCATCAACCCTCAGTTTGTTCTCAGTTTTTAAGAGTCTTTTATGGTTTGGCTCCCTCCCTCCCTGTTTTTTTTTTTTTTTTTCCCTTCCCCTCCCCCATGGTCTTCTGTTAAGTTTCTCAGGATCCATTTTTAAATGTATAGTTCAGTAATGTTAAGAATATCAATAGTAAACTTTTCACTGACTTGAACATACCCAGTTCACATTGTACTTAGTACCTTTTGTGGTTTAAAATACACACAAGCTGAAAAATAACTAAGAAACTTTGGGAAAAAATAATTATACGATCTATTCGGGGGAAACAGCTTTATTAAGTAATTGTTTGTATTAGAGCAATTTCTTATGGACTTAGTATGGGATCAAGCAGTCCTTTATTTTTTCTGGTCTTCCTTTCTCTCTTTCAAGTGAAACATAGGTGATAGTTGTATGTAATACGGAATTTGGAATTGCTAGCGTAGTGAAGAAATGATGTGACAGTCGAGTGAGGCAGCCTGAAATATGAATTACTTCTTGGGATAACTGATTGGCAGGCTAATTCAGAAGAGACAATTTTGAGTATGAAAAAGAAAATATTCAAATTGTCTTGATTTTTACTTAGATTGAGGATAATGATAATTGGTCGCTTGTGGTTTTGGTACAATCCAGACGGCATTTGCAAATGTTTGAAAATAAAGTTAAAATCTCAAAATAAGGGGCATCTATCTGGGTGGCTCAGTTGGTTGAGCAGCCGACTTTGGCTCAGGTCATGATCTTACGGTTCACGAGTTCGAGTCCCACATCGGGCTCTGTGCTGACAGCTCAGAGCCTGGAGTCTGCTTTGGATTCTGTGTCTCCCCTCCTCTCTGTCCCTCCCCTGCTCACACTCTGTCTCTCTCGCTCTCTCTCAAAAATAAATAAACATGGAAGAAAATTTTTAAAAACTCTAAGTAACATTTTCCTTTCACTAATTATTATCATACTTCTACTTTCTATCCATTTCTTTATATAATTTTTAAACCAAACCTTTAACAAACTGAATCATTAGAAATTTTGGAATACTCAGGAAAGTTTTTAGAAAAAAAAGATCGTTTTGCTATTTGTTAATTTGTAAAATAAGCATATCTCCAACTAATTAAGATGTAGAGAATACTTCGGCATCACTGATAATCTCAATAATATTGATGCCCTCGACAGTGAGCATTATTGATGAGCACTTGAGAGCTTCAGTCTTTTTGTCTCCTTGGTACGAACATTTTCCTAACTTTAATTAGACTGGAAGATTATGAGCAGCTAACCATTCTTCAAGTGGATTAAGGTCTTAGAAGGTTCAGCTGAAGTGGTATTTCATGTAAACACAGGGTTTTGTCTTAAAAGAATCTATGGATGGTTGGTAACTGTGGAATCTTTAAAAGAGCAAAAGTGCTGATTATTTTCTAATTCATCTTTTAGAGCTGTAGTTGTCAAAGTTTTGTATCTCAGGACTCCTTTACACTCTTAAAACTTTTTGAGAGCTGCAGCAAACTTTTGTTTATATGAGTTATTCATGTCATTTTTTGTCATATTAGAAGTTGAAACTGAGAAATGTAGAAGTATTTATTAATTTTAAAATAATAAATGTATTATACATGATATAAGGTTTTTTTTTTAGTGAAAAATATATTTTACAAAACAAAACATTTGTAAGAAGAGTAGTGTTGTTTTATACTTTTCCAACTATGTTTAATATTTTGCCTGATAGGAGACAGCTGGAT